AATATTATTAGAAATTTATTATTATAAATTATAATAAAAAAATTTTAAAATGAAACAATTATTTTATTTACTGGGCTACGAACCCAATTTTCAAGACCACCACGACGAAGGCCCAATCACCTTCAAATAAGATTTGGACCCGAAAATCTCAACTAATTAACTTCAGCCCAATGAACGATCTATAAATAAAGATTTTAACTCATTTGTTAACGTACATTCAATATTCGAACAATACAACTGTTCGTATTCTCTCTACGACTTTTTTAATCCACACGTCTGACTTGACGTCAGAGGGGTTTCCGCCGGATCAACCTCTGGCTTAGGTTACGTGTTCTCTGATTACAAGTATCTCAAGGTCATCAAATTCCCAGTGATTCATTTTGCTCTACGAGCTTATCCTACTTCGACTACTTAAGGTGATCTAATTCTAGCATCATTACTAAACAAGTCCAATTTTCATTGGTTTTGTTGTTCGAAGTGAGTCATTGCGTAAGAGACAGATTACTTACTCAATAATTTACTTGCTAGTGGATTTTGGCTTTGGGGTTAAAATTCAAAAGTTCGCTCAAATATTTCATGTCATATGCAATCACATTCCATATCAATATGAATGAATACTCGGTGGTGATTAGAAACGTAAATTTTTTCCCCTAAACTAATATCCATTCATATCTAACATCCCTAAGGGAATCATATTTCTCTGAAGTCCAAGGATGTACCTACCTCATATTTTTCGGGCCTCATTAGTTAGTAAGATAAGATTAAATAATCTAATAAAAATTTAATTATTTTATCTGGCCCTGAGACGTCCAACAAAAAATTCAACAAAAAAACTCCTTCAAAGGTAAAATAAGCCTAATAACATAATATTTGCGAGTCGACCTAACAAGTTGTTGGAGATTCCAAACATCAAACAAAGTCTTATTATGTAGTTAATAGTGGCTAACATCCCCAACCAAACAAGGCCGCAATATTATATATATTACATTGTAAAGGTGTTTAATACATTTTGAAATATATTCACGGTTCATTTGGATGGAGGGTTTTGATTTGAGGAAGTGATTTGAAATGACCTCAAGTTGGAGTCATTTGAAATACACCACAATAGCTCAAAAAACAACTAAAAATGAGAGGTATGGATTTGAAATTCCTTGTCAAATCCCTCAATCCTAACAAGTCCGACCCCGGATTTGTTATTATGGATTCCAAACCCCCTTCAAATCCCTCCATTCAAATAGACCCTAACATTTTGGCATGCTTCTCGGTTTTATAATATGCATAAAATCCTAAATTAGGAAGGAATTTCACAAGTTACAAAAATAATATGTTGAATATTACTTGGTTTTCTAGCAAAGTCCAGTTCCAAAGAACAATGTTGTCTCTACCTTACCTGGGCCTCTCTAGCGTCCAATCGCTAAAATCTACCGGAGGTCAGTAGGGTCTGAATGGCCGCCATGTGTCCAAAAACAAGTATATATTTTAATTTTCATTTTGTATTCACCTAAATCACTAATTGTCCTTATTATTTTAGATTTCATATTAAAAAAGAAATGTAATAATGTTTATTGAAATGTCTTTATTACCCTTAGTATCTTCTTTTACAAATTTTAAAGGGAGCACCGGATCTGGCCCAGACCCGACGACCGCCCCATTGACGTTGACCCAGACCGACCTCGATTGGTCAACACGTTGGACCTGGCCCAAGGACCCGTTCTAGGGACCCATATTTAATTGATCAGTTTTTTGCCAAAAAATGCTTCAATTAAGGGTCAAACTTGGGGCTGTTACAAGAGAATGGTATTACCGACAATTGGGAGAAAGCAAGTATGTATTCAATATCTAGCAATAAGTATATATAATATAATCTTTTAGTGTGAAATGATTTAATCGATATAAAAAATGTTAAATGAGTTATTAATTTTCATATTCATTATTATTAAATGATGGTAATTAAATATTAACAAATGTAATATATTAAAGTTTGAAAGATATAAAGAAGCGCAGTTCAATACGTCCAAACATATATTATTAATTACTATATTCAATATAATCTTCACTATTAAAAAGTATAGAGAATGGAATCAATACAATATAAAAACAAATGCATGACTTAATAGAAACTCACTGATGTAAGTCAATAGTATGAAAAAATTGAATAAAGAATAAAATAAGATGTTTATTTAAAAAAAAATATATTATAACTCATTTCAATTAATTTGAATCGATTAACTTCAATTATTGACAAGAACTTATTAAAAAATATAGATTATTTTATTAAAGAACAATTATTGACAAGCACACGTTTATAACAAAAATATAGATGATGTTTAGTTTTAAATATTCCTATCAGTTTTCATACATTAAAATAAAACTATAGATGATGAGTAGAAAAAATTAACTATTTATAACTTAGTAATATCTTTTTAATTTTCCTACTCTGGTTAGCACCAATATGGAGTTATATGAAATAGTTTTGTTTTCTTTTGAATTAAAACTTATTCTATAAATTAAACTATTTAAATTATAATATATTTAATCTATAAAAGTGCCACTGAAATTTTATTATAAATATGTTAAAATAATAAAAACTTGAAAAGTACTTAAAAGGGATTTTTCGACAATTATAGAATTTCAAAGCCGAAAAAAAATTAAAAATATTTTACAAGATACTAAAAGAAATAAAGAAACATTTTTTCTTTAATATTAATTTAAAAAAATATTTAACTTCTATTTTTTTATTATGTTTAATTAACAGCATCTGTACATGAACCATTCAGTTTTATGGAATTAAAATATCATAGTTTTAAATACTGGATATAAAGTAAATAAGAAACGAAATACAATTAAACCTCTATAAATTAATAGAGTCGGGACTAACAAAATTTTATTAATTTAGCGAAATATTAAATTATGAAACTAATAAATTTAGTAGAGTTTTATGGAGCCGGACCAGAAAAAAAACTATTATTTAAACGAGGTTATTTATTTATCGAGTATTAATTTAAATAACTAATTCCCTAAAAATATATTCTTTAATATTACTTTAAACAATATTTAATTTTAAAATTTTTATTACGTTTAATTAACAACATATATAGACATGTATGGAACCAATCTGGTGAAACATTTTGTATCTTATAATCTCTAATTTTAACTATGTCTTTCTTTAGTGTTTGTTTATGTTATTCATACAAGTACCCAACAGTATATAGGGCATTTTTCCCATTAAAATTAAATAACTTCATTAGCTTTTGTCTTTAACATTATTCTAGCTTAATCTTCATTAACTCAGCCCATAATGCAGACGGGACCACCATTAGAAGTTGTCTGCGTAAAAGCAGAAATACATGATGGAAGAAGTTTATGTTAATAGCACATGAACATTTTTTTATAAACTAGGCATGTGCACGTGCGTTGCACGTGTCGTGAGAACAATACATATATTGACATATAACTTCTTGTTATAACGGCAACAAACAATAAAATTGACATTCATGTATATATATAAAGCTGAAGAAACTAATGAAGTATAACTATCCTAAAGTTATAAATTAATTAGTAATTTAAAATATTGTTAATTCATGTAATACTAATCACTCATGTCCATAACTAGCCAGCGGATGATATAGATAGATACAAATACGGGAAAATGACAGTTTATGTCCCGAAACTTTACCACTAAAACGATTTATGTCCTCAAAAATTTTCATCCACAAAAACCTTTCTCAGACTTGCCAATTTTTAAACAAAAAAAAAAAAAAAACTCATAATCACTTTGGAAAAGCGTTTGAAAACACCACCTAAATGTTGTTATCGTTAAGTTTCTACATGTAAAGTTAGATGCACAATCAAAATTATGCTTTCAATTAAATTCTTATGTACCTAGTTAAAAAAATCCAACAATTAAAAAGTTGTTTCAAATGACGTACTAAACAAGCAGTGAAATAACATAAACATCAACTCTAATGCAAAAACACGAGTTATATATGAATTAAATCAAATGGAGAATACATCATCAATGACGTATAAATTAGAGAGGGAAGCACAATAAATCATAATCTGCAAAGAAATCTGCTATAAGCTTTGGCTTTGGTACGTGTTTTACCTCTAACGATTAGATCAATGTAAGGCGTATCTCGGGCAACAGAAGAGAAACTGATTTAGAATTCATCCAAATCATACATATTCTTCAAGAAAATAATTAGATTCATGAAGATGGCCTGCACGGTTGCAGAGTAGGTTGATTTGGATAACTCACCATAAACCATTAGTTGTGATTCTGGTAATTAGTTAATTAACATCAAATCCTTCTTGATATAGGAAAGGCATTTCTTGCAAATTGGTAATCTTGCCTTATTTTGGCGCTTCATGAATGGATGGACTGAAGTAGTAGTGCTTTAATTTTAAATCGTACTAGTAATACACCCGTGCGATGCACGGGGTATTCATTGTAAAACAAATATTGAATAATAAAAAAAGTTCTCAAAATAGTGATATTAATTGTTAATAAGTACGTAAAAGAAAGAAGTAGAACATATTCAAAAATAAAAATCATTTGTATGGTGCAAGTTCAAAATAAGCCGAAATAAGTGAAAAAAACTAAACATCGATGGTTTTAATTTCCGCATACAAAATAACGAATATATAGTTGGTCCCAAACTTGTACAACCATAATGACATGAACGTTGAAAACTTGAATTGTTTGATACCAACCGCCCTAAACGCATGCAACAAATCCAATACAATGCAACTGTCCTGCATATGTTGTAAAATGGTCACACGAAATATATAAATTGTTACCAAAACAATACCAATATAACTGTTTAATTGCATAAAATCATTGTAAAAAGATTACCTTCGTGAAATATACCGAGCGGAGTCTATAGCAAGTTCCTAGTACAATTAAAATAAACCTACGAATGAGGAATAACAAAACATAAAAATAATAGATAATAAATGCCGTCAATCAATATTGTAATTTTTTGTTTAAATAATTACCTTCATATACGCTGAAAAACTTCCTTGTATACAACATTATTTGTAACGTTGGTCGTATCACCAGATTCCGAGTTAATCAAAATCTTTATGCCACTTCGACTCTTAACCCTCGAGAGTGCGACATAGAGCTGTCCGTGACTGAAAACAGGTCTCGGCAAGTACAGGCCCACGTGAGAAAGAGTTTGTCATTGACTTTTATTAATTGTCATTGCGAATGATACCATCAGCGGAAACTGACGTCGCTAGAATTGATAGGCAATGTAGAGTTGGACGGTACCAATGTCATTCTAGGAATGAACACCACATCACCAACATGTTTACCGGATAGGATCATGCAGTTGAGAACTTGTTTTCCCATATTAATAATATGAAGCCTTGTTCCATTGCACAATCCTCTGGCATGATCGATATTTCTGATGAGCATAACGGGCACACCTCTTTTCAATGTCAACTTATGCGGTGGAATTTCGGAACATGATATGGTGTTGAGAAACTCCGGTGAGTATATTTCTGCGTTGACATCCGACAACAACTCCTCCTTGCACGTACTACCTGAGCTGAAATAGACCTTCTCCTCTCCAGTTATGATCGACAAAAAAATGATCGTTCACAAAACCGATACTTTCATTAGTGGCATCACCGTCATTTATCTCGCCAGCATCATCATTGCGGATTCTCAATATCCAGTCCGTAAATTCTCTTATTTCATCTGCATTGGCGGAAGAGGAGGACGACTGAAGTCTCATGTTCTTGTTTAACTTCATAACCTTGCATTGTCTCCACAACGGTGATGAATTCATTGTAGCATGAACAATGTCTTGTCTCGACGCTTTCAACACAACTGACAGAATTTGCAGAGAGTCCCCTCCAAGCACTACAACCTTGCCTCCAAATGGCATATCTGAATCAAGTATGGATTTCATTGTTTTGTCGAGTGCTTCGAAACAGTACCTGTGCATCATCGGTGCCTCGTCCCATATGATTAGCTTTGCTCTAGACAACAATTCTGCATGTGGGCTCTGATGTTTGATGTTGCATGTGGAGCTCTCATGTACAATTATTGGCAGTCCTAATCTGGAATGAGCAGTTCTGCCACCTGGAAGTAGAAGCGAAGCAATACCACTGGAAGCAACATTTATAACTATTTCGCCTTTTGAACGGATAGCAGCCGATAGAGTTTTCCATATGAAAGTCTTTCCCGTTCCTCCATGCCCATAAAGAAAGAACAGTTCACCTCTGTCATTTGTAACAACATCCATGATATCATCGAACATTTTTTTCTGCTCATCAGTAATGGATGAAAGGTATTTATTCTCTTTACACATAGCATCAACGTCATAGTCCAACTCGTCGAGAACTAATCTATTTACCGTGCCATCCGTCATCGACCCAATTGGAATCGGCATTGGGGGAAAGTTACTCAGGCTTGTGCTGTTACTTTGCAATATATTTTCTATTTCGATCAAAGCGTAGTTTCTTAGAGTATCGTCTGACACATGTGGACCTTCAATATAATATAATATGAAAAATTAACATAATGTGGTGATTATAAAAATATATAGTTTTAATTCAAATGTGTGTAGTAAACGGTGTAAAAACGTAAGATGTATTCTCATACCTGAATTGGTACGACGTTGTTGCAGTCTGTACGCAATATCCTCGACGAATTCTTTCCAGCAACACTCCCACACATGTTCCGGTCTGCTCATATTATTTGCGACCAAAAGTACAACAAATAATCGTCTCACATAGTCACCACTGGCCCACTCGTTTGCCTCCTTTATGCCAGCTATGTACTCCTTGTCGTCATCTAGTAGTCCAAGCGCAAAGCACGCATCTTTGAAAGTTGGGTAGACGTGATCCTCGACTTTCCTAAGATCATCGTAACACGTGCAACCTCTTTGAAAGTTCAACAACAGTCTCAAGTAATAGTCTTCACCCCTGCCCGACGGTACATTGGTAACCCTTCCGATCGAGAATCCTATCTTTCTCGGCATCCAACAGCGAGCATTTTCCTTATAGACAAATTTCTGTGGAAACTCTCCATACCTCAAATTTCTAGCTTCAAGGTAACACTTATTCGCTTGGAACCAGATCGTTTGCTTCGCAGTCGGTCTGTTCAGCACATCAACTAATGAGTCATTATCTGTAAACACAACATACTAACTGTCTGGAAGCACTAGGCCAAAACGCAAGACTGGCGACGAAAATTCGCGACGAATTTTATCTCCTAGCGACGTTTTATCACGGTTAGCGACGTTTTATTTTCGTCGCCAAATCAGTCCAAAATCGACGCCAAATACCCCGTCGCAAAGTCAGCGACGAAAATACGGTTGCGTCGCCAAGTGTGGCGACGAAAAACACACTTCGTCGCTAAAACCGTATTTTCTGAAAAAAATTATTTATTTATTTTTCGCGACGGATAATACATATTCGTCGCAAGTTGTTGCTACGGAATTTCATATTTCGTCGCAAGTTCACAGAATCTTTTGGCGACTAAATAGTTTTTTCGTCGCCCGGCTTTAATTAATTTGGCGACGTTAACGGAATTATATTTCGTCTCAAGTACTATTTTTGCTTGTGACGATTTATTTTTCGTCGCAAACTTTTTTTTTTTAATTATTTTATTGATTTCAATTATTTTCTATTACAAAATAAAATCAGCTGTTAAAAAAAATAAATAAAAAACCAAAACCATATTTACTCAAAAATATTAAAAATCACGATTACCAATTAAATATCAAAATACAACACAAACATCAATTCAAAAATTACATAAAAACTTGAAACCATAAATGTATAAGTTGAAGAGGCACACTAATTTCATCTCGTGTTTGTACTCCACTATTAAAACGCTCGAGCAAGGTGTTCAAAATACCTCGGGTTTCTTGCAATTGCTCTTCTAATCGATTAACTTTTTCATCTTTTAACTTTATTTTGTTCTTGCATTGTTTCTCGGGTTTCCTGCAATTGTTGTAAGGACTCAATTTAACTTAATTGAAACTTAATGACTCAATTGAACTTTTGAAACTTACCCAAACTAGAAATTGATTGAAATGAAGCTCTGGTTCTTCTTCTCTTCCATGGGAGTTTCTCCCCCACTATTTTTTTCTTGACTAACAATACCCTTTGAAGGGTAACCTCTGCCCATGTGCATCAAAATTCCTGGAGACAAATGGAAAGAAAGAAGGGGACCAGCGGCGACGGGAGGCCATAAGAAGTGGTCTTTTTTTACCAAGACCACTTAATGAGAAAAATACATTTATCAGTTCCCCTGTTTTCACTGTAATTTCGCACAAAAATACAAAAATTAATCGCAACCCTTAAAGAAATACGCCCGAGTAAAAAAACTTAAACCCAATATAAAACATCAAGAATATACTGCAAGAACATATATAACACAAGATTAGCAATAGATAAGACGAATTAATCTGCATGTGTGAGCAACAATTATACCTAGAAATTGGGAAGGGTCACAATTATTAAAATCACAATTATTCTATCAAGTCAAAGTTACATTCATAAACTAAAACTAAATTAAGGTAGTAGTCGCAACGGGAAAGCTTTTCAATTTTTAATTGACATCAATTTTCAATTTTCAACGGGAAAGCTTTCAATTTTTAATTGACATCAATTTTTAATTTTCAACGGGAAAGCTTTCAATTTTTAAAGTTGTGTTTGAATTTAATTTGAATTTCGTAAGCCTATCATATTTTAACTAAATCGGACACAAGCTATAGCACAAATCAGAGCTGTTGTCGATTATTTTTATTTTTACAGTTTAACCTTTTCTTCTAGTCGAACACAAATACTAGTTTGAGCCAAGTATATAAGGTTTAGAAAAATCCGTTATTTTTAAGGTTTCGACATAGTTTATAGCATTAACTCTTGAAATTAACAATCAAGGAAAAACAAGGGCTTCGCCCCAAAAGTGATAATATCGTTAACACTCATTGCAACCTGATTAAAAAAAAGTTGCGAATTGTGATTAAGGCCAACATTACTACAAATAACGAACATGCAAATAATGACATAAGTTTTACCAAATCAATGCCAATGGTCTCATGGATTCCAGTCTCGAAAGCCAGCTTAAGTTTGGTACCCACTCCGTCTGTACCAGCCACCAGATACGAATCCCCTGCGAATTATTGAAACATCGTTAGATTACAATATAATAAGATGGGAAAGACCACAAGATACAACCAACAATGAATAAGGTAAAAATTTACGTAACAAGTATTGAGAGCAATAAAATCAACAACATATAGAAACATGATCGGTTTGGTGAGTGCAAAAAATATGTTTCTATGAATCATCGCCAAATTTTGTAGTAGAAGACTTCTTTAGGGAAACGCCAATAAATTCGAAAATGATCTTCGAATGTGGGGAATCCAATCATAAAAAAAGGCAATAAGTTTCTCACTGTCACCCTAAAATAATTTGAAGCAACTTTTCCTTGTTAAATAAGTCCAAGTGTTGGACCGAAAAAAATGTCAAACAACAATCTAAAGCCAATCAATTCACATTCAAAGAAAAATGCACATTTCAGAGAGATTAATTGCAATTCACACATTAACCAAAACAACTGCAGCAAAACTATGGAATACGGGTAATAAGTAAAATAGAAAAAACCCTACCCAAAGGGAAAAGTCCACCAAAACCACCAATTCCAGGATCCATCTTTGCTATTCTCCTAACAAGTTCTGAACCAGCATCAATGTCAACATCCGCATCCTTGTACGTAAGTACCTCACCTTTTTCTCCACCAGAAGTTTCTACATGGTAAGAAACGTAAGTGTAGGCACATGCAAATCAGAAAATAGAATCAAACTCGCTATTCCTGAAGAAAAAAAGAGGGGAATTAGGGTTCGGAGGAAGAAGAAAGTAATACCCACCACTCAATCCGAAACCTTAAAAATAACGGATTTTTCTAAATGTCGTTTACGAATATATTTACCAACTGAGGAAGCACACTTAGCTTTGAGGTAATTAAGGATATATTTTGACAAAAAAAAAAAGAAAAAAAAAACCTTCAATATAAACTTAGCAGCAAAAAAAATTACCAATATAATTCTGGACGGAAGAGGGCGGACGGAGGACGGCTGGCGGCAGAGGTCTGGCGGCGACGGAGAGGGCTGACGGCGACGGCGGCAAGGGCTGGTGGGAGACTTCTGCGGCGGAGGGCTTACGGGATCGGCGACGATTAGGGTTCACGGAGGAGGGCTAACGCCGGTGGGCTGACGGGGAACGGCGGGCAGCGGACGGCGGGCAGCAGGCGGCGGTGGGCTGATCGGAGAAGGAGAGAGAGAGAGAGAAATTTTAGAGAGAGAAAGAGAGAGAGGGAGAGAAATTTTAGAGAGAGAAGAGAGAGACAGCAAAGTGAACGAATTAGGGTCCGTGCAGAATAATTAATCTAAACTTTGCGACGTTTCTACATTAACGTCGCAACATAATAATTTTTTTAAAAGGAACCCTAGCGACGTATACAGGTTTACGTCGCCACCAAATTCAGGAAAAAACAAAATTGAAAATATCTATTGCGACGGTTTCTCTGATCCGTCGCAAACAAAGATATATATATTTTTTTTAATAAAATCATGGCGACGTTTTTTCAAATTCCGTCGCCATATATTAGTTATTATTATATAATTGGGCATTACTAGCGACGTTTCAACACAATCGTCGCAAGGTATATTATTTTTCTTTTTTTAAAAGAACTATGGCGACGTATTATACTGTTTCGTCGCGAGTTTTCAAATATAAAATTGCAAAATATATAAATCTTGCGACGAACGTCCTGTTTCGTCGCAACAATTTTTTTTTTTTTTTTAATACGTGCGACGTTTTCATATGTTGCGTCGCGATCTAGAGACGATTATCCAAATCGTCGCGAGGGTTTTTAACAAAACCGGGGTTAGCGACGATTTTAACTCATAAACGTCGCAAACATGCTACGAACATAAAACCGTCGCTACAAAAAAACGTCGCCAGTCTTGCATTTTGGCCTAGTGTCCTCGGTGGAACTCAGGGACAGATCACGATACAACAGGTCCTCTAGTGAAGTCACGGTGATGTCTGGGTCTTAAGGATTAATGGTGTACTACTATATCATACAGACCTCTACTCGGTTATTGGTTACCACTTAGAGATCTCTAGATTGAGGGAGTTCTAGATTGAGGAAGTTCAGTGAATTCATCAACTTATGAGCACCCACTTATGTATGGTCGATGTCATAACACCGTTGACTGATGAGAAAGGCCGATATCCTCATTAGTGACGTAACCCGTTTACTAGGAACAATGTTTGACAGTTACTATACTTAAATAAATTATCTCACGATTCTACTAATTCCATTTTTAGTAATTAAGTAACTGTAAGGACTACATCTATGCTTATGCAAGGGAAAAATATATAGAATGCCAAAGGGGTTTTTTTATCATTAATAAGAAATAGATTATTTACGAGTAGTGTGAGAAAACACAACAATTGGTTGGCTCATCGGTCACCTACTCTAACAATCTCCCACTTGACCTAAAGCCAACTACTGATTACCTAAGTCACATCGACACTCGATGTTTCTCATGGACCGGTATGGGTAAAGGCTAAGTTCAGGGATCTAATACGTTGTCTACCGAGGCAACTCTCTCGAACTAAAGTTCGCCTCTATTAATTCTATAACTATTGAGATAATTATGATTCAGTATATGCTTGGATTTCTGATGAGACTTATTGAAATCATACATTTGACATTTGAATGTTATTCCGAATCCAAACTACTACATTTCGAGTCATACATTCCACACCATATGAACTTTGGCATTCCCGATAATCCACTTACGTGAAGTGGCTAGTGGGAGACGAGTTGAATAGTAGATCCAACTTATGCCATTTCGTGGGGTATCTCAAAAATTGTTTTAGATACTTATTCTACTATCCCTTGAAATAAAAGTTCTTATTTCAGGGAATGCCACGTTCTTGAAGAAGAAGTTTCAATGCGATAGAGTAAGTGTATGGTAGAACTCGAAGAAATTCGAGAACCACGAATTGAAATTCCAACACCATAAATAGAACAAGAGCCAATCAAAATCAAATCACCCATTAATGTACCTTCTCAACCTTCTATGTGGAGATTCAAAAGGATCCGTAGAGAACTCAATAGGCTAACCCTCATCGAAGGTAGTCAAAATGAATTGGACGAGGGATGTGATCCAAGAACCTTCAATGAGGCTATATTTGATGCAGTAAGGGACAATGATTTAACGCCATTAAATCCGAAATGGATTCCATATACTCCAACAAGGTATGGACCTTGATAGATCCACCCAAGGGAATCTTTTCCGTTGGATGCAAGTGTATCTATAATCTTTAAGTTGGAATACATGGAAAGGTAATGGACCTATAAAGCTAGATACATGAAAATGAGTTATACTCTACGACAAGTTGTTGTCTGTGAGATAACTTTTCACGAAACACTATGCTATCATTCCCTTAGGATTTTGCTCGCCATTTCTGCGTAGTATGACTACGAGATATGGAAAATGGATATGAAGATCACCTTCCTCAATGGTGAGATTGAGGAAATCAGAGTGGTGCAGCCGAAAGGCTTCATATCTTCTAGAAATTAGCAAAAGATTTGCAAAATTCCAGCGATCCATTTATTGATTAAACCTAGCATCCCATAAATTAGAATGTTTGGTTCGACACAAAATCATTAATTGATTTAGTAACGAATTCGAAAGATCCTTACGTTTACAAGAAGGTTAGTGGGAGTGCCATTACATTTAGACACGGCCACGGGGCGGATCGGGTCCGGGTCCGGGTCCAACTTTTAGGGGACCCAAAACCGGCCCGTGGGGAGGAGGGTCTGCGTCCGGGGCGGGTCCACCCAGGTCCATCTAGGCCCGGGCCGGGTCCCAGTTGGGTCCGGGTCCAAACCGGCTTCCCAACTTTTTTTCTTTTAATTACAACAAAGAAAAAAACTTAAATTGAAACTTGAAAAAACTTAAGATTAACTTTAAATTCAAAATTTAAAAAAAAAAATTGAATTTAAACACTAAACAATTTTAGAAAAAAAAGTGAAATGATTAAGACCTTGAGACATAAACTAAATAAAATGAAAGTTGTGAAGATTGGATTAGGGGTATTTATAAGTGAAAATAATATTTGAGAATTTTTTCAAAATTTTAAAATTTAAAAAAATCAAAATTTAATCTTTCGTTTAAATTAAATCGTGATTTTTTATATTTTTCAAAATTAAATATGTATGCATTTGTTATTAGTGGAGATTTTTAATATTAATAATAGTCAACATGACAATTTTTAATATTAATAATAGTGAACGTGATAATTATTATAATCATTTTATAGTGTTATTTATATTTATATATTTATAGTTAGGATTAGTATAACAATTAATAATTTTGCTAGAGTGGTTAGTACTCTACTCGAGCCACCTTGGTTTGAACCCCAAACTGACCATTTTTTTTGTTATTACACTTAAAAACTGGGTGGACACGACGGGTACTCGGGTCCGAGTCCTCGGGCCCCCCGCTGGGTCTTGAGTCCGAAAAATGGGGACCCGAAACCGACCCATGTTTTGTCGGGTCCTACACCAAAATAGACATTTTCTAATAACAATTTTTTTTGTTTATAAAGGATTATATTCGTTAGAATTTCCTAACAGATTTTTACCGTTAGAAAAAAAACTCATCACAAACAAAAACAGTCTTTCAAATAAACTCATCCCCATGTCTTGGGTCTAAAATACCCTCCATAATATAATTCTTATCAATTCCATCGTTTATGCTCTAACTTCCTTAATATTGCAAATTGACCCAAGATTTAAACAAATATATCACATTAACCCGCAAAATAATAATTTTTTGAATTTTTTTTTTTTTCAGAAAGTAATTTCTTTTCTGATTTTTTGTTTCCGGCCATATTCCGGCATTGACCATTGTCCGGCCTTGACTTTTTAATTTTTAATTTTTAGTTTTTTTGAATTTTTTATTTCTAAAATGTTTTCCGGCCGGTCAACCGCCGTTGACCGCCGATCTCTGGCGTTGACTTTTTTATTTTATAAATTTTGTTTTTTCTTAGAAAAAAATATTTTAATTAATATTATTGTCTTGGCTGCTAAATTACTGTCTCTAACTATAATATTATTGTTTGAGACAGTAATATTATGAATATTATATTTCCTAACAGTAATATTACTAATATTACTGTCCCAAATAGTAATATTACTGTTTGAGACAGTAATTTAGCAGCCAAGACAGTAATATTAATTAAAATATTTTTTTAAGAAAAACAAAATTTCAAAAAAAAAATAGTCAATTAACAGTTAATTTACTGTCCCCGACAGTTAAATAACTGCTGGAGACAGTAATTTAGCAACGAAGACAGTAATATTAATTAAAATATTTTTTTTAAGAAAAAAGGTCAATTAATAGTTAAATTACTGTCTCTGACAGTTAAATAACCGCAGGAGACAGTAATTTAGCAGCCAAGACAGTAACATTAATTAAAATATTTTTTGAAGAAAAAAAAAGTCAATTAACAGTTAAATTACTGTCTCCTACATTTAAATAACTGCTGGAGATAGTAATTTAGCAGCCAAAACAGTAATATTAATTAAAATAGTTTCTTAAGAAAAAAAAGTCAATTAACAGTTAAATTACTGTCTCCGTCAGTTAAGTAACTCATGGAGACAGTTATTTAGCAGCCAAGAAAGTAATATTAGTTAAAAAACATTAAGAAAAAAAAGTCAATTAACAGTTAAATTACGGTCTCCGAC